GCGCTGCCATTACAGAAGAGATAAACAACTGCATAGTAACGACCAGTGGTGGGCTGTGATGGCCTTCAAAGCCTTCTCTGCTGGCCTAAAATCAATCAGAAACACTAACATACATTCTCAACCTACACTTAAATTTTTTTTTCTTTCCAGCTTTATTAATTTATTCGAAACAATTGATTCTCTTAATTTTGTAGCGTTTCTCTTGATTACTGAGCTGCTTTCATTACATTTATGTGGTCTCTGTATTTTTTGTCCAATCAGATTTCAGCCTTAGTGCATTGCTATGTCAATCAAATCTGCCCAGGTTCTTCAGAATCAGCAGTACTGGCTGATGTTACCTAACAATATTAGTGAGAAACTTTTTCTTCAACCAATCATATTTCAGATTTGGGGGCAGCTAGATGGCCCACACATTTGTCAGCATTTTCTGTCCTCTGATTGGTCAGTTAGAGCAAAATATTTACAGCCAAGTTAATCTAACGACAATCTGCATTTTAGATTTGATGTCGTTAAAAGTTCTTCTGGCCTCAACGGCTGATCCTTAATGGAGATACTAAGACTTCCTGCACAAAGACAGGAAGAAGGATTTTGTTTGTAAATAATCAGCACCTCTTGTGAGTGTGATATGTATTTTATTTTCACGCTTAAGCTCCATTTTATCTGTTAATTAGATGCATATTGAATTTGAATGGCTTCTGATGGTTTAAATGCTTCAGAGCTGTGGTTATAAGGTAGAGGATTGCGGTTCTCTTAACTGGACTTCTTGCCTCAATGATTTTAGCATTCTCGCTCATACTAATCTTTGTCTCGGTTATACCTGTGCTTGTTGCATTTCATATTTGAATAGTAATGGCTGTTTCTTTTATATAATTGTGAAAGTGGTGATATTAACCCCTTGACACCCATCATTGCAAATTTCCATCCAAATGTATATACATATCAGCTGTGCGGCTGCCATTAACACCTCTGTTTATAGATGTTGGGATCGGCCTGTTTTTCAGTGTAGTCCTGTTTCTCTGACTGTGACTGGCTGGATGTGCCGTCTTCATCCTCTGACATGGGAGCTGGCTCGGTGCTGTGTGTTTCCTGGACGGGGCCGCCTTTTACAGTTGCCTTTCGTATCTCTGCTTCTGTCTCCTTGAACCCCAGTCGGCTGCGGCAGATGGCCGCTCACACTGAGCCTGGTTCTTCTGGAGGTTTCTTCCTGTTAAAAGGGAGTTTTCCTCTCCACTGTCGCTACAAGCATGCTTAGTGTGAGGAATTGCCTTCAATTCAGTGAGTCGATGCAATCAACTGATTTTCCTTAGATAGAAAACTTTGAATCAATTCGACTGTATGATCTGGTGAACTGTAAAGTGCCTTAATATGAGCTGTGAACCGGCGCTATATAAATAAACTGGATTGAATAATGAATTGAACAAATCAAGTCCCTAACTAGCAGACCCTTTGAGGAAAGAGATCTTATTTTAAATAAACCACATTTAATTGTTTTAACTTTTTCCCCAATTGGAATTATATTAATTTTAAATAGATGATCATGATTTACTCCTTATAGTGCTAGCCTAGGCTAGCTACTACTTACTACCAGAAGTAAAACATTTTGAAAGTGACAAGTGCAAAGTAGAGAAGTGCAGCAGAAGGTGCTATTTTTTAATGTGTTTCTGGACAATTAGTTTTACTTGATAGATATCACAGAAAAAAATTAGTCAATCAATCAAGTTTATTTGTATAGCCCTTTACAAAAGCCAAATGGTACCCAAAGTGCTTTACAACAAAGCCATAAAACAATACATAACACATA